ATTGATATCATTCCATATTTTCTGCTTCCTTCTCTGAAGCTGTCAAGGACAGGTCTCCATGGTCAGGTGGTCTAAGCCACTGTGACAGTTCCTCTGTTTCTGTAAAAACGTGGTGAGGATGGAAGAAACATTTACTGAATTTGGAAAGTACTTGCTCCATCTGTTTCTTATGTGCATATAAAAAGAACTAATAGCTGGTAAATTTAATCTTGTGACCTTTATGTTGGTCAGAATCCAGTCACTTGGAAAACCTTGGAAAGACTTATCAGTTTCAGATGGCTTGTGATTGAGAAGGTTGGATGAGTATCTAGCATGTTACTTATTTTTATTGTCATATGTCAACACACATCTTGCCAGTTGGGGTTTTGCAACCAGCAGGCATTAATCTGCCCTCAAGACTGTACTAGACTAAAGGAAAAGAAGTCCTGTAAAGGTGGGGTGTGACTCATTGCCATACTTCTAGTGCTTGTTTTGATTTCTGTGCAAGGCTGTTTGGCAGAGTGGCACCTAAGAGGTAAACCCAATGTTTCAAAAACACTGTATTCAATGCACATGCAGAAATGGTGCACGCATACCTCGTGCAGGCTGATCATTGCTTCACAGACTCTTTGTGCAGGTTCTGCAGTGGTTGCTGGATTTACTGTAATTTCAATCACAGCAAACTCAGCAAAGGCAAAGACACCATTCAACCACTGTTTGGGATTAAATGAAATTTGGCAGGAACTGCATGTAGTTTTCAAACAAGATTAGGCCCAGTATTAAAAGCAGATGCTTTACCAAAAAATGACACATCATGTACCACAAACTGTATGCTTCCTTTTGGCACACCAGCTTGAATTCCAATTTTGCAAGTATTATTTCAAAAAGCATCTCATCAAGCATTTGAGGGCAAAGTTTATTTTGCTGATTACATTTCCATCATGTGATTTGATAGATCTATTTAAGAATGTGGTTAGATGCATTTCACATTGCATTTCATAGTACTTATTGAAACTACAGATGTCCATGATGAGATAAATTTTCTTCTTTCTCCTTTACATTTCACTTTGGATTTTGGAAAATTGTATTTTGTTTGCTTTCTTCCTACATCTTGCTGTCACTGTTGTTGCTCTGACAAAATATCAGAAGTTTGGAAAACGTAATAATCAACTTAACGTGCTCAGGTATGTAATTCTGATCTGGTGCATCATTTGGCCTGCCCAAAGCAGGAAGGTACTGAAGGCCAAGGTGAAAAAACTCCCACCTGAAAAGCACCTGAGAGAACTTGTAGTTGCCAGGAAAGCCCCAGACACATTCCATAGACATGCAAAGACCAGAAATACTGAGCTTATCGATCTTGTAATAAGATTTGTGTCCCTGTCGCTTGCTCAGAGGTTTGTTGAGAGCAGTAATCTCTAACATAAATGCTGAAGAAGTTATGGGGCAGAGTCTGCTTTAGTCTGCAGTTATCCTGTTGCAGTAGACCTGAGAGAAGTCACTGTCATTTTCATGTTTCCTCCAAAAGGCAGCTTAAAAAGAAGCAAAACCAGCAAAAGGATGTTTGTGTTTATCTACATGATGTGCAACCAGAAACATTGCACAAAAGCGTTGATGAGAAATGTACTTTCCTTTCTGCAGCAAAAAACACACATTGTAGGTAGAAAGAAAACATTTATGTGATGCGGCAGGCTATGGCGATCTTGTTACACATATACAGAGCTTTCTTAGGTAAAGAGAAATACTGCACTTTTTACAGTAACATCCAAGACCCTCAGAATAGTATATTACATAGTGAAAAAAAATCATAATGGTAATGAAGATCATCCTGTGGTTCTTTGAGTACAACAAATAATGCAATAAATGTGTTATGATGTTATTAAGAGAATACCGCTGTGCTGATTTACCCATCTGCTGCACTATTGCCATTCACAATATCTAGGTAGGTCCTTACGTGTCTCTCCGCTCCGTAAAACTTCACTCGGTGCAGCACACACAGTAAAGTGTCTGTTGCATGTTAGGAAGCCAGTAATTGACAAGCAAAAGGCTACTGTAAAAATAATAAAATGAAATGAAAAAAACCCACCCAACAACATAATAAGCAGAGCTGATTACCAGTGGTGGAAGATACCAATAATTTTCTTCTGGTGCTTTACTCTGATATCCCAAAGGGCAAATTTCCAATATTTTCATTGAATGAAGTTAATGCTGGTGAAACCTGCTTATTTGGCAGTTTAGGATTCAGCACAGATTTGAGTGACGGATATATTTTTTGTGTGTGAAGGCTTATTTCCCATGTCTGTATGGCACTGGCCATGCCTTCCTCCGCTGCAGCTCAATTACACGGGGATACCATGGGCATCCGTAGGGACAGTGAAGTCCTGGTCCCTTCCCTGCCTGAAGGTGCAGAGCCAGCCAGGGTGAGGGCACAGGCTACCGCTCTGGGTGTGGGGTAAAACAGGGGGGCAGAAGTCTCCTCCCGAGGTTCCGAGGAGTGGGCTGGAGAAAAGCCAGAAAAATGGGTTCAAAACTTCTTTTATGTGCCCCTAAGCCTTCTAGACTTTCTGCTTGGCATAGCAGACTTAATAAAAATACATACTTTTTTTTTTTTTTTAGTCTCTTAATGGTGTGACCAGATGAAGTAGAAGCTTAAAGACACATTATTGTTGTGCATGGGTTTGTACCCTCTGATGCTGTGTTTTTGTAACTTGTTTTGCTTTCACTGACGAGTGATTTTTTTAAGCCACTTGGAACAGTTTGATTCACAAAACAAAGACAAAAGAAGGCTCCAGAACTGGAAGGAGAATTTGCTGATGATGTAAAACTGATCCTCACAGCCCTGAGGGCACCACCAGCCCTGACTGTCCCTGCCCGGGACCTAGGCCCCATTCCATTTGTTCATTAGTTACAGTATCTCCTGAGGAGAAAGCAATTTAATTTTATCTTTTTTTCTTTTTTATGAGATGTTTTTGCTTCAGAAAGTCAGTCTACATGCAGCTGCTGGAGGCTGCTGCTTTTGTTTGGTGAGGACAGGGCTGTGTGTCCTGTGAGGGCAAAGCCGGGCAGTGAGGGACTGCAGCGTTACACAACAGCAATTAATACCCCAGCCCCGGAGCCGTAGGAGGGCATTATCCTTCGCTTCCCAGAATAGCCTTACTAATCTTCACAGGTCCTTAAAAAAAAAAACAAACTCTCACAGCTTCAAACTATTTGAATACAGATGAAAAATAATTGACTTGTCAGTTGCAAATATACAGCTGATCTTCAACGGTACGGTAACTCAAGGTTCAGAGAGTGACTTGAACTTGGCGTTTTGGCTGCCTAGCTCTTACCTGAACATGATGTCCTAAACGTGTGGATACTACGGCGATAGTGAGCCAGCCATCCCCCACTGCATGCACGGCTGTGCACGTGGAAAGGGCAGATTTCTGCCCCTGCAAAACCCTACGATGAGTGAACTCATCGTCTGTCTTGGAGCGCTGAGGCCTCTAGCAAGGGTCTATACACAATAAGCAGTGTCTTGTTTTCAGATTTGCTCCTGAATAATCTCTAAACTCAACCTGACACTAAGAGAATAGCTCAACAGGCTTTATCAGGATTAACAAGTCTGCAAATATAGACGGTCTAGATATTTCAAATCTGTGTGCTTAGGACATTAAGCCACCTTCTCCCCACCCCCTGTCTTTCAGAATACTACTTAAACCTCATAAGGCAGAGGGAGGAGGCACAGGTCAAACAGCAGATTACAACAGCTCAGAATAACTGTGAAATTTATAGCTAATCCTGTGTGCTTCCCTCTTTCTCTCTAGCTCCCATTTCAAATATAGCACTGCTTTCTCCACCTTCAGAAACCTAAAGGAGGATTTATTTTGCTCCATTTCATCTTCCCCATTTCCTTGCTTTCTTTTTACTTCTGAAGACTTTCAGCTGTTCCTCAAAGGTTGCACATGCATTATTGAAGAAATACAGAGCTAGCTGTGACACTTACTTTGACACATCCCTAAGGTCTGACATCGGAGTTTGGGGCTTGGAGAGAGCTCCAGGTCCCCTACAGGCTATGGCCAGAATCGCCAGTTTCCTAAGTAAACAATACTGGTGTTTGTCACGGGGACAGGGGAACCTCTTGGCAAGCAAAGGCTGTTAGATAAGGATGAAGAATGAAGCAGGGAATTAGGAGCTGCAGATTGTTACGTGGTCTTGTGATAGGTGCATACCCACTGTTATATAAAGAGATGAGGCTGTATTAACCAGACTGTTACACAAGGTTTTGCTTTGCCCAGATGAAGAGATTTGGGGACTTAGAAAATACCAGGACCTTTGTGTTAGAGGAGTTGGAAATGCAGAGCCAGCTATGCGATCTAGCT